TGAGGCCGAGTCGACCTAGGGGGTGTTGGCTGTGAGTGGGATTTGAACTTGGGTCGTTGGGTTCGTAGCGCAGCGCGCTAACCAATACACTACCGCTCTCCACACACAGACCCATAGATACACACACATATACCCATAGACGCACACACAAACCCATAGCTGCACACACAGACACCCCGACTAACACAGAGACCCAGAGATTACCGGAGTTGTGGAGATGCCACCGGTGTAGGCAGAATATGAGTAGAGGGAGACAGGTGGGAGGATGCAGAGAGAGACACGAGTGGATGTGAGTAGAAAACGAGGTACGGAACAAAAGCTCAAGGAGGTGGGGAAAAAAAAACTCCAAGCAGTAGAGCCTATGCAGTAGTGGGACTTCTGGAGTGGGTCTCATCTGCTGTTGGTCTACAATGAGGCAGAGAAGGAAATGCCACATTCCATGACGGGGGCAATTCTATTGTATCTTTTGCCTACGTTGTATAATTTAATCTCGACCATCATGGATGAGAGCATCGCGAGTTGAATGTTACCCTGGCGATGCGAATGCTGATGAACCGAGTCGGAATGCGGTGACGCCTGTCTCTGCACCCTGGGTGGAGGGCGCTCCCGGAGCCGGACCGGACAGACGAGTTCCGTAGCACCCCCCTTCTCGTCCCACAAACAACACTGCGTGGCCTTAAGTGAAAAAGTCTATAACTGGCGACGTTTCGGGCGATGGCCCTTCTTCACAGCACAGAGGGAGCTAACCAAAGAGGTAGCGTCTCTCACCAAAAAATAATCGGCTTCGACAAAATTGAACAGATTCTGTCTGGTGATGCTGTTGCTGCGTTGGCAGCGGTCGCCTAACGAGCGTGGGGGCAGGGGGTACCTTACCCCCCTGGTGGCCAAATCTACGAGTAGAGGCCTCGTTGACAACCACCATGAGGTTTGTTTTCAACAGTGTAAAAGAACAAGCACTTTTTTCATGCAAATCTTTTCATTTACGTTCCACCTTTTATTTTAATTAGAGCAGTAACATTTGGCGACCGTAAGAGACAAACCAAATATTGGAGCCTCATCTGACCGATTGTCACCACCTGAGCTAATAATTATATTATGTAGTTACTACGCCACTGATTGGCAGTGATACACAAGTACATTTAACAACAAAACCTCGACAGTATTTGTCAATGACAATACAGCGTGGCCTTAAATACAACGGGTGACGTTTCGGGTGATGGTACTTCTCCATGTCACGTAAAGTCAAGCACTTTCCATAGCACTCGTTTACCGAAAGGAGCTCACAAAACACTTCCAAGCACAAGGATTCGACCCGGACTCGAGTCTCCACCGGCCACAACTGGAGACACACTCCAAGACGTCTCTATCAGCCCAGCCTCGGTTTATTATTAGAACCGTGGGGTTTACAGCAACAACTCTGAACATGACGTCACCAGATCTCGGCACAAATTAATTCCTGCCACATGTTTCCAGTTGCCAGCTGCCAGAGAGGTTTTCACTTCTCTCCCCATCCGCGTAAATCACAAAACAGCTCAGAGTAACAGCCCATTGAGAGTATGAACTGTCAATAGGGATACAAGAGGAAATAACCGTAGCACTGCACAGCATCACTTCAAAACAACCACCCAGCGAGTGGGGGCAGCTGGGGGCTGTGATGAGCCTGCTGTGACCCGAGTTATATTCCGGCTACGGCTAACATCGGTGGCAAGAGATATTTGAACTGGTGCCAGCCCCCTACCCCTCCTCCATCCCTTCATTAACTCGCACTTCTCCGTACGGCTGATGATATCGAGCAGCAGATGTGATTCTATATCGAGATTGTCGATGAGCCACAGGAGATTGCGTCACGAGTAGCGGGGCGTCGTATTGCTGCTGTAAATGATGCCTCCTTCGAATTTGTGAATCAGGCATCCAGTCGTTAAACCCGTACTGACCAGCGTGGTGAATTTATGGCGTGGGGAGGCTCTCATCTCACTGGTGGGTTTAGGAAGGCTGTTATGTGTTTGCTGTGGATAGCGAGTGTCATTCGGGGCCAGTTTTGCATTTCTACATTTCCGGATATGTGATGTTTTAGGACCATAATGTTGGATATTTGTTTTCAGACCCAAACTCCACACATCAACTACCATCCGCCACGAAGTGGCGGTAACGTCACCACGAGGCTTGTGCTAGGCTAGGTGCACTCCATAGCACACCACTCAGGATAACCACGAGCGTCCCCCTGTGCAGAATGTAATTTACAAAACCGACCTCTTCCTCCACAGATATGGCTCTCCACATAAAAAGAAAAGTTTTTCTTCACACAACTCATGGGTTCTTACATATATATTTTACACAGCTCATAATTTCAGCAGCATTGATTTAAAACGAGCAGAGCTTGCTTGGACTGAATCAATTCTGCTTAAATTGTGTTGTATCCCTCCACCACCCGACACGGCAAAACAGTAAAAAAACGTGTCACGTTTACAAAAGACAAATAGTTAACAAATAGTAAACTGCTGAAATTGTGCACTCCCGGAAGGTCGATTGGTTGTCTGTGTAATATCTTGCCTTAAAGCTTTCGTGACTGCAGGAATACATATTCTATGGGTCTTTCGGTAAAAAAATATCAAGCAATCGTCTTCTCACCTGAAGACGATTGCTTGTGTTGTGATCGAAACGTCGTGATATTTTTTATATTATTTTTATATCTACGTGGCTTTACCGAAATACCCATAGAATATGTCTGTGTAATACTTTATGATTTTAACCTGGACAAATGGATTCGTGAAGGAGACATTATCGGCTCATCTAATTTATGGAACCCGAGAGCTTACTCTGCAGATATAAATGCTTCGACTGTCATACCAATGTGGAATTGACATCACTAGATCAGATCCACTGGAAGAAACGAGGCCCATTCCACAATGATCTGGCCAGAAAGAGAGCTTCATCTGACCAAGTGTAGAGAACGAGGGTTGCATTAGTCACATTCCCTCACACCGTGATTACATTCCAGAACGGATGATGGCGAGATGTTAACCACGCCGCCCGGTATGGAGGAGTTCGTGTGTTCGATCCCGACCCTGGCGCCTGCAAAATTTGAGTCTGCGTGTCTCTCTCCCCGTGGTCGCGTGGATTTTTTTCCCCGGGCCCTCCGGTTTTTCCCTCCGCATTTAGAAACATGCATTTAGAGTAATTTCCACATGATAAGCCACGTTGTTGAGCTATCATTTCTGGCCAGGTCGATTCGGAAAAAGAGCTATATAACTCGGTGGGATTTACCTGGTAAAATAAAAAAATAGTTTACTTTGTCATGGGCTCAGCAGTGCCATATAAAGCACTCGTGTTCAAAGCCCAACTTAAACTGTAGTGTTCACAGAGTGTTACAAGTGATCGAGGCGACTCCACGCCCCAAGTCACGGGGTGGACAGTTACTTTTTGGCAGCCCTAAGCCTGTGGTGGAAATTCCATATTCCCATGGTGGGGGCCTGGTTTCTCTCAGCACGACCGGCGTTGAAATACCACGGTGGCGCATTACCACAATTTAATTGTGAGCGTCAACGTGGAGAATATAAATAATACGATAACCAAGCATAACAAAATAAAAGTTTTGTTTTTACACATACCATCAGCCACACGACCTTTTGAAAGAGGACATTTTCAGCCGCATTCAGATTCCGTGTCTCATCAGCAGGCTTACTCGCTTGAACCAATACTGGTGCACTGCTCGATGTTTATTATGGGCAAGGACCCTCCCTGTTAGACATGGGTCCGAGTTCAGAAGTAAAATGATATTCCTCACAATAATCACCAGAACTTTAATGACTGGTCCCATGCTAAGCTCTCGCAAATATCCCGTCCCCACGGGCAGCTAACAGAGTGATTTGCATGCTAGGAATGTCGGAAAAAGAGATTATGTAAATCATATTTAAAAGTATAGCAGTGCGTGATGTTAAGTCGTCATCCACGTGGCATGAGCTGTTTGACAAGTACAGTATTATTGTACGATTGTTCAACTAGGTAAAATGACATGTCATTACATCGCTGCAGTGAGTGGCACAGGCCCAAATCGTCAAGCGCCCAGGAACAAACGGCACTATTATCCAAGTTGTGAAGTGATGCGAGTCTAACACGTATCAAGAATTGAACGGGGTTATTGCAGTATTGTTGTAAAAGATTGGTGGGGAGGGGGCGAGACGACGATGATGGTAGTAGGGAATTCCAGAATCAGAACTTCATTTCCAGAGTGGAACAGTTCGAGGAAGGGATTACAAATATAAGGTGACCTCTTGATTTGAAGCTTTCGTGACTGCAGGAATCCATACTCTTTGGTTCTTTCGGTAAAGTCACGTAGTTAAAAATAAAATAAATCACAACTTTTTGCCTGATGACGACCGCTTGTGTTGCGATCGAAACGTCGTGATTTGTTTGATTTTATTTCTAACTACGTGACTTTACCGAAAGAACCAAAGACTATAAGGTGGCCTGCAGTGTCGTAGTGAGTGGATGGGTGAGTAGGTGAGCGAGCAATTGAGTTAGTAACTTTATGAGTGAATGAGTGGATAGGCGAGTAGATGGGTTATTGCGTGATTTACTTGTGTGAGTGAATGAGTGAATAGTTGAGTTTATTGTGACCTTCGGTCATGGTGAGCGAGTGTTGGTGTGACCTGAAGTGTGGTAGTTGACCAGTGGGGAGCGGTAGTGTAACGATTAGCGCGCTGCGCTATGAACCTGGCTACCCGGGTTCGATTCCCGCTCACGGCCAACACCAGTGGCAATTATCTGAACCGGTCCTGGGCCTCCCCTAGGTCAACTCAGCTTCAAACAGAGTACCTGGTGCGGTGTTTCAACATCGCTACTGGAGAGATAAATTCGGCCGGGCGTGGTGCTTGTCACCTACTCCCTCGTGTTAAGTACCGGACTTCATAGGTGCTCGCTAACAGCACTTTCCCCAATAGTGTGTCAAGGCTACCTGAAGGAATCTGTGTGTGTGCGTGCAGATGCGGTCCACTACTCACCACACACTTGTGTCCCAAGACATCAAATAGAGCTCGGTTCTCTTCGGCTGAGAGCAGCTGACAGCCTTTGTTAGTCCACTTCTTCGTGCCATTTGCGACAGAAGTCATCACAGTGCCTTGCACAGCCCACCCTGACACTTAACACACAGCAGTAATACAGCTACCCTACAACCAACCCCGACACTAACACAGCTACAGACAGCCCAACACAGCACCTCCGGTTAGCGCGGTTGGCTACGTAAGGTGCAAAAGAAGTTCAACACACACTCGCAGTGTACTATGATGTAATGAGTCTCGACACAGCCCATGCTCATACGTGTATGGAGCTACAGTAACTGTGGGATCTTCTCATTGTCTCACCTGGTGCTTGGTGATCAGCCAATAGGTGTGAGACAGCCCCCTCTCGCCCTACCCCCCAAAAAATATGCCTCAAGCGCTGATTGGTCGAGAGCAGTGTGATGAGCTCATTGTGTATCGATACAAGAGCAACAGGTTGAGTGGGATTCAATCCGGAGGCTTCGCCCAGGTGAGAGGGCGATGATGCTATTTATGTACCACCTCGCTGCAATGGAAACGTCTGAACCTTACAGGAGTACTTACAATAATAAGCGTTAATAGCGTATCTTAGACATCACCGTCATGCATCATCATCCCATCATCATGATACATGCAATGATGATGTATCGACGATATAGCATGGATACAAACACACATTCCCACATATTCTTCAATAACACTGTATGTTACCTTAAAAGCTAAAAATTTATCATAGCCGACGTTTCGGACAATGGCGCTTCTTAACAGCGCGGCATGGAAGAAATTAGCTATTTTCATACGGCTCCCTCAAATGGCGTGAGCAAGAATTTGTACGGCTGTGCCTTTAACCCACCCTAGTGTTAGATTGAGACTGCCCACGTGCTCTGAATCATCAACATTATCATCCATCAACAAGCCATATAATGTGCACGATTACCCAGCGATGCCATGGGTTTGACTGTCACGGCCATCGTACCTGTCGGATCGTAGAATGTAATTTAAGTGCTACTCCGACTTACTAATCTCATTGTGTGGTAGAAGCTTGATGTTCTGCTCATAAAATCCTGCATATGATCTGATTATATATGTGCTGTTATCAACTGGGGTCCGTAATAAATGTGGTCTAACCATCCAACCCAGTAGACAGCAAATTAACATTGATCATGTGTAGAGTGCTGTCAATATGTTAAACACTACACCAATTACTCTTTGTTTTTTTTTCGGTAAAGTCACGTAGGTAAAATGATGCAGCTATCTTGCTGTGACTGTTCCACCTGAAGACGGAAGCTTGTGTTGCCTCCGAAACGTCGTGATTTAATTTAGTTGTTTTTTTTATTTAAAACTTTATTTTACCTACGTGACTTTACCGAAAAACCAAAGAGTATGAATCCTTGCAGTCACGAAAGCTTCAAATCTAGAACTACACCAAGTGTAAACGCAGCGTTTTGTCAATGCACTGCTGGATGAAGGACTCACCGTGCTATATCAGCCATGGGGAGGGGGTTGTTTTGACCCTACTTCACCACGCTGGGCAGGTGTGGTGAGGTATGGGAAAGGCCAACCACAGGACCGGTATGCAATATTACATCTGATGCTGGATGTAATTACCAGCGAAACGTACTCAAACTGTAAATGTTGTGCATTCACTCTTCAACACACCGGTGGGCTAAAGTAGTGAACTATTTGTCTTTTGTCAACGTGACACTTTTTTGCTGATTGGCCGTGTCGGGTGGTGGAGGGTTACGACACATTTATAAATAACGCGATCTAACCCAAAAACCTTTATTATGAATTACATCTGACATCAGAATAAGAATGTTTATTTATCCTGGAGGAATCCAATGAGCTATTTTTCACAGATGTCCAGTCAAGTTGCGAGTCAGAAAGTTACAATTGTATTAGCCACGGCCTGATATTGAACTCAGGTTGCCTATGTTAATATAGTGCAATGCGCTAACCATTGCTGTTCAGCTTAGCGCCACGCCATTATGAGCCTGAATAATGAGCACGGGAAAACGATTGCATTGAATGAAATCCAACATCTGTAACATTGACTGGCCCATTAACAACGAGAGCTGTTGCGTCGGAGTCCCTGTTGCCCACTGGTATGGCCACGCGCTCTCGACTATTTTCGGGACCGGTGGTCTAATACACGGAATGGCCACACATTCAGTGCTTTTGAGCTGGTGGTCTGGACAAGGCCTATCGCTCTTGTACATATGCGACATTGCTGCTGCTGCAGGCCCGTGCGCCGTATTGTTGAATAGACGAGGAGAGACCCCCCTCCCCACCCTTTGCGCTGCAACGGAAAAGAAGAGGCAGCTCACGCTCGTCTCACAATCCTCCTGCTGTGCGAAGTTTCAGTTTATTTATTTTGGTATAGCCCTGTGAGCCATTCGGCTCTTGAATCGGGTGCAACCACAACAAACAAAAAAACTAAAACACGAACAAGAAAACATCTTAAAGTGACTTTGTGACTGTGCAAACAGAAAATTCATGAAAAAAAAGTTGGAGCACCAACAGCACTCTGCATTTTTAAGTAATACAATTCTAAGAGACAGTAATACTGCATGTACTACGATGTTGTTTTATCGCTAAGATTTAAATAATATTCTGGTGAAAGAATGACATTCATATCACACATTGAAAAGTTGGAGCGATTGTACATCAGCAGTTTCAGTCTCCGGTATTCGTTACATCTCTTTGGTGTCGCTCTCTGTGATTAAAAGTCTTCGGAACTTCTGCCGTTTCAACTCAATTCAATGTTTATTGGTTACACAAAAATCCCGTTTAACCAGTTACCCAGCTAGTTTATTTGGCAACGGCCCGCAGCCACTAACAATCGTTATTGTGGGGGTGAAGACTGAAAACGAATCTATTTTGATTGGAAATTAATTTCTTTATTCCTGCTTTTTGTGTTTAGATTGTTGTTATTCCCCACACCTCCGATTAGAACGGTTGGCTACGTACGGCACGAAAGAAGTTCAAACACACACACGAAGAGGAGCCCAGCCATCAACCAGCCAGGAAACTAGAGGCATGGATTCTTGTCAATAGTGGTATGGTTATGTTTCCGGCCTAGACTCGTGTTTCTTTTTGCGGTGGGTTAACTTCTTATCATTTACAGATCTGAATAACAGCGGTTATCTAACAATGCTTTCTAACTATGCTGTCAGAAGGCATACCAGACGATGCTGGCTTGAGTGTCGCTTAAAGGCGGCTGTCTGTAGGAGCCTACGTGATCACAGATACAGGGAACCACGTTTGTCATTCACAGAAATGCCAAGCGACATTCACACCTGGTGAGGGCATGGTTAATAATAATACTTTGCATGGACGCGAACCCAGATGCTGTGAGTTTGGAAGCCATAGTGAACAATCCCTTGAGTTATTGTGTAACAGCAACGGCTTCAGACTGTGTTGCCACTGACTACCAATACACACGAATAGACATTTGTGTGTTTGTGTGTGTGTGGGGGGTGCTCGTGAAGCGGTGAGCGCGCTGTGCTACGAACCCGACCACACGAGTTCGATTCCCCCTCACGGCCAGCACCAGTGACGATTATCTGAACCGGTTCTGAGCCTCCCCTAGGTCGACTCAGTCTCAAATAAGTACCTGGTGTGATGTGTAAACATCGCCACTGGGGAGACAATAGGCGGCCGGGCGTGGTGTTGATCACCCACCTCTTGATGTGCCGTGCTGGCCTTCACAGGTGCTTTTTAACAGCACTTGCCCCAATAATCTGTTATTGCAGTGCACTCTCGTGGGGAAATCTCTGGCTGCCTATTATTGGGTGAAGCTGCCATGGCAGCGGTGCTCTACAATAACCGTAACCCTTACAAAAGGTCAACGCGTGCGGGCGGCGTTGAGACGACCACCCGCCCCGAGTGGCTGGGTCGGTGTGCGGCCTCGTCCCGCGACCTCTGGTGGTGGGAATGGGACCTGGACCCTGTGAGGAGGCCTCGCTGGATAAATAACCGAACAAACGTGGACGCCCGCTGGATGTGGAGCAGAGTAGATTTGCCAATGCCTGGTACCAGCAGTGTCAAGATTGGCCTTCGTGAAGGACGCTACTGAGGAGTTGGAGGTGGTCGCCCTCCATCGGAAACGGAGATCAACAACGAACATAGCGCCGAGCCGCTAAAACAAAGTTAGTTGGCACAGTAGGGGAGCAGAGGTGGTGCATCTGCCAGTCACATCAGTTCGTCAACTCCTGGGTCTGTCCCGTGACCTGTCAGCAGAGAGCCTTCGACACTTCACATGGCCTCAAAGTGCACCTAGCCTGGCAAAAGCGCCGTGGTGACGTCATCGCCACTTAGTGGTTTCAGTTTCAGTTTATTTATTTTTATATAGCCCTGTGAGCCATTCGGCTCTTGAATTGGGTGTAATCACAACAAACAAAAAAACAAAAACACGAACAAGAAAACATCTTAAAGTGACTGTGACTGTGCAAACAGAAAATCCATGAAAAAAACAGCAAAATATTCCTGAAAAAAGCACCGTACACCAATGCTGTGTGCAAAAAATCCCAGTGGGATGCAAGTCAAACAACAACTACCACAATAAAACTTAGATTAAGGCCATCAGTCTAACTCCATATTACAACAAAACAAACATGTCCAAACCAAAACACGTTTTCGAAATCACCAAAAAATAAAGCCATAATTGCAACGGAACAGTGGTCATAGGGACTGTGACCGAATTTTTACAATAAACTGCATAAATAACATGTAACACCAAATCCTAGAGCCATAGCTGGCTGCATGAGTTACTCCACAACAACAGAAGCATCAGTCGGAGTATCACATTTTTCAATGCACCTTTAAGATCAGCACGCTATATCAAAATACAGATAATACTTTGCAGCGTCATCCGGAGCAAAACATTTTATTTTACGCCAATGAATAGCAGTGGCAGCTAGGGGTGTACAACTCCTCTAGAGCAGTTTTGAGAGAAGATCTCATTGGTAGCGATTCAAGTTGCAGTTTATTGGCAATAGCATTCCAGACCCTGGGGGCATCAATAGCAAAGGCCCTTCCTCCGGTTTTTGTACGGCAATAGGGAATGTGAAGCTGGTAAATGAGCGAAGACCTGAGGTCAAATTTGTTCTTTGAACAAATTTGACAAGTTTTGTAAGTACATCGTGAATAAATAAGATCTGGTGCACAAGCCGTCGAACATTAAGAGACGTTAAGTTTGACCCAATGTAGAGATCACAGTGGTGAGTCCTATATGGGCAGTTCAGTGCAAATCTTAAGGCCGAGTGATAGATGGAATCAAGCTTCCTCAGTACAGTACTTGGGGCTGATTTATACACGATGTCACAGTAGTCAAGTAAAGGCAGTATGGCAGCTTTTATCAATTCCAAACGGAACATTGGGGGGAAGCAGTGCTTGTGTCAATACAGAAAACCAATTTTTATGTTTGTCTTTTTACCAAT